TTTGTCATTGTATTCTAATAAATCTGGTCATGGGCTGGTAGATAATTTGCCATCCTGCTCACTGTGCTCGATGTAGCCTATTTTCTTATGTCTTTTTCCAGTTTCCGAAAGCCGGACACTTTCACGCCAATGTGCTCGACGTGACATGCAGGGGTTTAGGTTGCTGTAAAGTGTAAGATAATTATACCTGAGGATGAGCTTCTCCTTGCTCCTCCTGGCAGATCTGCAGAGCGTGGCGGTAATCCCTGCATGCTCCTGTCAGGCGCCGCGAGGCCGCCAGGTATCGAGCCCGAGCATCCAGACTGAGGCCAAGCAGCAGCCGCGTGTCCTTCCTTTCCTCTTCTGCTAGGACCAGAGAGAGATGCTGCGTCAGGGAACGTTCAGACGATCATACGTTCATCACAGCTGGCAAGCTATCACATAACCAAATAAGGCTGCTGAAAAAAAAAAAACACAGATGTGTTCACAGGTGCCACAAAGCATCCACTTTAAGGATCCAACAATGATGGAGTGATTCCTCAGCCTATAGGAATGTTTTAGAGAAAATTAAGACAATTTTCCATCTATCCAAATGTGGTCAATCAGCCAAGGAAATTATTTTGGTATTTGAATTTTGCCTCCATATATACACATACACACATATATATACACACACACACATATATACATACACACACCATGGCTACTATTAGGCAATTAGCTATGAAACGTACATGTCCATTTTTGGACTAAATTTTACTCTGTATCAGTGTCAGAAACCACATACGCAAGTGTAACGGAGACTTGGGACATAGCTTTAAGTGACTGCGTGATGTATTAGACATGCGGTTTCCACAGTGATAAACTGGAAGCAATACACTTCCATTATTCGCTAGAGATCCAGTGCAAGGCTGAAGAATCGCATTACAGACACCAAACACAATGTGGCTGATCCAACTACATTTGGAAAGGGGTACACTTCATTTTCCACCAATGGCTTTTGAAACTCAATCCACCCACATGGAAATATGCGCACTCGGGAGTGAGAAGGAGGCGTGAAGGAAGCGGCTCATACCAGACTGAAATAACCATTTCTGAACATCTGTTAAACCAATATGTCATCACCTCACCATGGCATCTTCACATCTTCACCGCCGTGGTTTCACGTCAAATAACCACATCAGACATCATTAACACTGAAAGCTGTGACTCATACAGAAACGTAAATGACAGGAAATTTCTCACCATTCAGTAACGCTGGTGAAGCCCCTCAGATGAGTGGGGCATCATACAAAATGTCGCCCAGGTTATATAAGGATTTACAGTTGCCTAGGCTTAGGTGCTTCTACTACTAGATTATCTGGATGAGGAAACTCTTCATAGCCGACTCTTTCTGTACTATAAGGAAGCGGGGCTATGCAATATGGTGAATCATATCGTAGGATGATAGAAAAATGTCTATTAATAGATATCGTCTATATCACCAGTGTTGCAAAAGCCACTTTTCAGCAGCCGATTTACATCACTAAGGTCGGAGCAAGGAGCTACTAGTGTTGTGGTGTAATAAAAAACAAAAACAAGCATGCAGGAGTGCGACACAGAGCAAAACTCCCAACAACTCTGACACAGAACACACATCAGCCCAACTAAAATGAGGAATGTGCACCTAAAAGGGGAGGCGCTTGTCGTTTGGACGTGGTTTTGGGTATAACGAATCAGACACTGCTCAGAAAACAGTCAACTGTATGACATGCCGCAGACCAGTCATGAATGCGTGGAGTTATTTTGTAGAGATCGTTTTTGAATCAATTTTAGAGAAAACGCAACATACCTAAGAAACATAACGTATATCAGATTTCGTTCTTATCGTCCAGCCTTATAAGGAAGCGCGTGATACCTGATATAGCATCTGGTGGATTATCCTTCTGCTTCTCGATCTTGGCCTCCAGTGAGTCAGTGCAGAACTGAAAGCCGTGCTCTGCCAGCTCATTCCTATGAAAACACACCAGTGAAGCTAACTGTTAATCCGCACAAACCACATTTAACGTAAAAATAAAATCTGCGGACCCATTTATTATCCCATAACAGCATGTCCTGAAGTATTCTATTCCACTTATACTATAGCAATTACACAGCAATTATCCAAGAATTACGAAGGCCAAGGTCACCTCTTGCAAAAAAAACAAAACAAAAAAAAACCACCATTATGACCACTGTATTTAATCACTTACTTCTGCAGATAAAGTGTCCAACAATCACAAAATGATGGATAATTTAGAAGATTTACATGATATTATGGGTCATATCACTTTATGAACACAGTCCATATCCTGACTTGAGGATACTGGAAGCTCATTAGAAAGAACAAGGAGAACTCAACGGCGTCTCTGAGGAGACGACGACTTCTTGAACATGAACGAGTAACTGTGAGTACCATCTCTGTATCAGACTCAGTAAGAATGGTATTTAAGAAAAACAGTTTCAGACAGTTGACCTTGACCGCGTTTGGATCAGTGCCGAAATATAATCAGTGGTGGCAAGGGTAATTCCATACGAATCCTACATTTAACCACTTATTTTTGGAGATACTGCACTAACGAGAATTTCCTGCACACAGACTGGCATACAGATGGACGGGCAGATGGCAAACAAACAAATAAAAGATAGCCACAAAACAGGTCTTGAGTTCTTGAGCATGAACGTGTAAGTAACATCTGTGCATGAGAAACAGGAAGGAAGCTACTGAAGAAAAACCATTTCAGACATTTGACCTTGCTGTGGCTTGGATCAATTCCAATATCTAAATCAGTTCATCTGCTGGTTACAATGATAATTCCATAAAGTTCTACAAACAAGCAATCAATCTTGAGCAAAGACGGACCGACAACCCGGAAAACATGTCATCAACATCTCATGACACAGGCATAGAAAGTGAAAAGAAAGAGCATGATCTCACAACCAGATTAAATGATCATTATAATTAACAGTCAGTATAAATCCCTCCTTTTTTTTTCCCGCATATTCTCGCATATGGTGCAGTTCTTCGCATATGATTACAATGTTTTGTAAATAAATTCATGATTCTCTAATGCGATCTCATCGCCGTGTGTTACGCAAACATCCAGGGTCATAGAGAAAAGCTGTTTGAAATTTGTTTATCCCGTATTGGTTTGTAGCTGTCCGGATGCGAGACGTGACGTGCGAGTATTTTGTTCTGGACGTCATCCTGAAAAACTAATCAGTGCAAGTAAGTCTCTAGGAGTTAAGGCAATCCACTGTTTTGTGTTTGTGGAGCACAAAACAATAAACAGTTTAAAATCCCTTCTTTATTTGCAGTAAATGGAATAGACGAGCTAGCCTTTAAGAAAGTAGACAATATTATATTATGAGACCAAAAAAAAAATACTCACTTGTTTTGAGTGGCATAGATACTGGCCAACTTCAGGGACATTTCAATGACTGCGTTGTCATCCTGTTTAAAATAAGCCATTCATATATTTTATATATATAAAATGTTTAAAAATATTTATCCATCGCATTTACTCAAGATATTATACGCTTTATAAGGAACCAAAGAATACTCTATCAGCACACACAGAGTGTGCAAAACCTTCAGAAACATTCTGTAGAGTAAATATCCACATGGACCCATAGACATATTAAAATAGATGTTTAAAGAAACCGAGACTCGCGCACTTGTAGTGTCTCACCTGTGGTGTTCCTCCAGACAGCATGAAACTCATTGCAGCTTTGAACAGTTTCTCAGCCTACAGAGGACAATAAGAGCACCGGGGTCATAAACCTACTCCCGCCTGGAGGTCAAAAGGTCAAGAGTATACGTCAGGGCATAGAGAAGGGAAAGGTCCCTCTCACTCTTACTCACATTGTCCAGCTCACCTTGAACAAAGGCCAAGTTGGCCATCTGTAGAGAAAGAAAGCTAACGTTATGACAACTTCTGGCACACTCTGATGGTAGGTTAGATGAAGTTCATAAGGTGAGAGTGAACTAAGATGAGCAGGAGAGCTACCAGGCTGTAGGTGTAGATGATGGCGTCATTGTTGTGACTCTGATGGGCGAGACGAATTGCTTTATGCAAGAAGCCGTTCGCTGCATCCAGCTCCCCGAGCATCATGCTGTACTGTGAAAAACATAAATGTTTTCTACTGTGTGATTTTTAAATACAACTTGTAAGCACATTATGTATTAAAGGGTTAAATAAGAAAGCATAAGAGCAACAGTGTAGCTGTTTCAGATTTCCCTATTGCCAAACAATGTTATAGCAGTACATCATCACAGTTCAATAACACCAAGTACAAACCTTCATTATACAGTGTCCCAAGAGTCTGCATACACAGGGGAAATTAACACTTTTCAGCAAAATGTCTTCCAAACTTTTTTCATACTTAGCCTTTAAGAACGCCTTTGACAAAAGAAGAAAATCATTCTCATGGCTGGATCGGGAAGCTGTCGCAAGGTCGCGATGGATCTTAGCAGGAAACATGCCAAGCACATCACACACGACACTGTTGCCAAACTTATTAACAAATTCAAAAAAAGACTGGAAGACAAAAATGTACACATTCTGTTTCTAAATATTGTAAAACTGCACCATCCTATAGAACAGTGGTTCCCAACCTGGGGTCCACAGGAGGCTCGCAGGAGCTGATATGATCTGAGGTCAAATAAAGATGCATACAATGTTCCACTAATAGTTTTATAAAAAAAAAAAAATTTTTGTATGTTTTTAAAAAAATCATGTGCTTACAATAAGGCCGTCAAAAAACAATTATCTCTGATATAAAATATTATTAACGATTATCTTTCACACTAGCCAATTGCGTTCACGTTCCAAGCTGGAAGGACCGTCATTGGCTGATGTCGGTTCAGAGAACACAGAACGGTTAAACAATCACGTCCGCTCTTGCCGTTATTCTTATTTATACCTGCCTGTGATATTTTCTAACAAGACTGGTTGGTTCTATTTCACAAAATAAACAAATTAGTCATTTAAACCACAGCGTCCCTGGAGGACTAGAGGTTAGGACTCTGGGCTCTCACCGCCGTGGCCTGGGTTTCAATCCCGGCCAGGGAACCGACCCCAGCCACAAACGATCCGGAAGAAGTAGAAGAACAGTCATATAAACCGCAGAGACCCTGACCAAAGATTAACGAATAAATGTGCTAAGCATGTTGCAGAGTGTTAATCAACGTAACCTTTCTTCATCCTGTGAGCTTCATATCTGACCACCTGCCTGAAAGTAACATCTGCCCACTCCTGCAACCCCAATGCACACCTCTAATATACACTCAACAGTACTTAATAGTAATCTGGAACAGTACATAAGTTTGCAAGTTAAGACGTAGCTATTGACTCTGTAAACCCACTAAGTGTGCAGTCTTGTGTAAGAGAAAGCTGATACAACAGTGCTGAGCTGAAAGACTCCAAAGATGAAATCCGACTAGTTTTTGGTCATTGTTATTTAGTGTTTGTGCTAATATTTATATTAAGAAAGTTTTGCCATTTCTCCTGTACTGTTTTCTGAGTGTGTGTTTTAGTCCCTGCTTGGGTCCTGGTCACAGTTTCGAAGCCCTGGACTTGCTTTAATATACTGAAGTAAAGTAGACTTTTTTTATATATGAGAGTGTGAGAAATCATGCATATGACAGTCAAATGGGGAACGTCCAAGTCAAAAATCAGCCTTAAATTGTTTTTGCTTTAATATGTGATTCTTATCATTTTCATCTGGCTACAACATGGTCGTTTACCTTTGCTTTCTTTAACAGGAGAATAATCTCATCCTCCATCTTCTGGGCCTCCGTTCTTTCATCTTTACTGCCAAACAGGGAGAACGCTGCGGACAGAGCAAACAGAAAGACAGGAGGATCGGTTTTAATTTTAAAACATTAAACACGCGAACATCGCAATAATAGATATAACACAAAAGATATAACGGCAAGTGCTTTATAAAGGTGTGAATTAGGAGGATGGGAGAAAGCCTAGCATCCTGAACCAGCAGTCAAACTGAAATGAACTGTATGTATTTCTTTATGTAGCCTAATGTGCATTCCCTTTACATAATTATTATGATGATTCCATTAAGGTAAGGAACAACGGCTGTGTTGTAAACCACACCAGTGTGTATATTAGTGCTGTTTAGAATGTAGATAATGAGAGACAAAGATTCAGATTGTGTTTTTTTTTATTCAACAGTTGAAAACTGTCAGACAGACCGGAAATACAAAAGATAAGAGGCAGCACACCTGATTCAACATATTAAACCTACATATAGTAATACTGTATAAATAGGATGCACCTTACAAACAGAGTCATGGTCTTGTTATATCTGCTTATGGACATGCTGTGTGTGTGTGTGTGTGTGTGTGTGTGTGTGTGTGTGCTGGTGCAGAAACAGTATTATATGACGGGATGATGCACTTACCCATTGCACTCCACACGGCAAAAGAGTAGCCAGTGTGCTCACTCCCACCTTCCTCATTACAATATGGCGCATTTCTGTGTAGTTTAAATGACCTTCTTCGCCTGAAGTCGCGCAGAGACGATGTGACCGACAGCTGCTGGTGCTGCTGGTGCCTCTGGTGCGTTACGCAGTCAGATAAACCTGATACGCAGACTGTCCTCACTCCCTGCCTTACCAGCCGTTTCAAACCAAGAGCCACGAAAAGACGACAGCTGGAAGCGAGCGCCATGTTTCCTCTTTGAATACGTCATGACGTACCTTGTCACGTGATACGCAAGACGCCCTGATTTTCCGAAACGTGCCGCTATCTTACTAACGTTCATTAAGGAAGCGCTTCCTGATTGGCCGGTGAAGTATTGCGGCCCTGACGTTTCATGTTGTGCGCGCGACTGTTGTCAAAGGACATCCTGAGGAGATTTACACTGACGAGGGCTTCGAGCAGGGTTGCCAGATTGGCGGTTTTTACTGCAACGTGACCTAGTTTTGGAACAAGGTTACGGGTGGGAAAAGCTAGTTCAAATTGTCTACTGATGGAATAAAAATATTGCAAAGGTTTTGAAAGGGAAAATGGAGAGGGATTATGGGATGGATAATGGTTGTACCAGATGATGCAGAAATGCGTGTGCACTACGGTGAACCTGTTCTCCACTCAAAGAAACACAAGAACAATATTCATCCTTTTTTTTTTTTTAATGGTCGAACGTCCTGGGATGGTTTCAGGTTATTTTGTGCAGCTTTTGAGATGTAGTTTGGCTGGAAATGTTTCTGAGACCTGGAAAACCTGGCTTGGAGTAAAGTACAGTGTATGGCTTTAGTAGGTCGACACTTGACCATGACACCCATATGTGGTTCTTCCCTGAACTGTTGCCGCAAAGTTGAAAGCACACAAATGTGTAGAATGTCTTTGTATGCTGTAGCATTACAATTTCCCTTCACTGGAGCTAAGAGGCCCAAACCTGTTCCAGCATGACAGTACCCCTGTGCACAAAGCGAGCTCCATGAAGACATGGTGTGCCAAGGCTGGTGTGGAAGAACTCAAGTAGACAGGGCCCTCAACCCCACTGAACACCTTGATTCACTGAATTGAACACAGACTGTGTTCCAGGCCTCCTCACTCAACTTCACTAATGCTCTTGTGGCTCAGTGGGAAATTCCCACAGCCACACTCCAAAATCTAGTGGAAAGCCTTCCCTGAAGAGTGGAGGCTGTTACAGCCGAAAGAGGGAACAACTTTGGAATGGGATGGAAAGTATATATGGGTGTGATGGTCAGGTGTCCACATACTTTTGGCCATATTGTGTATGTAGCATAAATCCATTAATTTTTATTATATGGTTATATGTTTTTTTTTATTTTATATAATGTAACAGGAATAGAGAACCAATTTACTGGTAGCTATTTTGTTGATTGCCTTTGCATTTTAACAAGCTTTAGCAACTTGTTACTTACCTCATAGTCTTGAGCATAGATACCTAGCTTGTTCAATATAATACAATGGAAAGTTTCATTCATTCATTCATCTTCAGTAACCACTTTATCCTGGCCAGAGTTGCAGGGGATCTGGAGCCTATCCTGGGAACACTGGGGGCAAGATGGGAGAATTCACACCGGATGGGATGCCAGTCCATTGGAGTAACGAAGAAATGTAATTGATTAATCCATTGGTCTAGAGAGTGAACAACTGATATGGTTTTGAGAATTTGGACCAATTGATACCATATCTAATATTTTTTAATAGTTTCATATCAATAAAGGTAACAATGGAAGAAGCGGCGAGACAGAAAAATGAAGAACAGAGAGAGGAAGAAGCTGCAATTATGACTGGTGTGATATTTGTGAGAAACTGGTAGATGCAAAGTGTGAGTAAGTCATTGGAACTTAATATATTTTGTGTTCAAGTGCTATCAAGAGCTGTCAAACATTATTAGAGTAAACTTTCTCTCTGAGGAGGTTGAACTGATTCCTAAACACCCTCCCTTTCCATATGCTAAGGGTGGTGGATCTAGTTCAAGCCATGCAACTTCAGGACTGGTTCATGTTGGTGGATGTGCATGATGCTGCTTTTCTTGTCACCATTGCCCCAGCACACAAATGCTTTTTGCCCCAGAACAAAAAAATTGCTTAGATGTATGCAAGTGATCTGTCTCCTCTGATGAGGGTGGCCTGTATGTTCAAAACCCCATTTAAAGCTCTCAATAAAATCATGCTGTAGCATAATGAATTTAAAGCAAAGCTGAGGTATTTAAAGGGCACCATATAGCCTACCCTGGGACAGAGCAACTAGCCTTGTAGTTTCAATGGTTTCAATAAGATAATGATGCACCATTTCCTGTGGTCATGTGATGCTGTAATTTTGAAGCAAGGCTGTTGAAGTCTGTATCGAAACAGTACCACTTTGAAAAAGTGAGACCTTCTTTGGACGGCACACTGAGCAACTCACCCCTAACTGCAGGCGTATTCCAGAAGTGGGCTATCAGCCTGCAACTGGACCTGAAACACCACAGACTGACTCATGTTCTTGTCTTAGTCAAAGGAGCCCAGTCACTGGATTGCTGGTGATGCAGGGTATTCCTAACAAAGGAGTCTGGCTGGGAGCAGTTCCTCACTGGAGAGAGGTGACCATGACTGCCTCTCATGCAGGGGGGTGTGGTCAGAGCACATTTGAGATCTTCTTGCTGGTTCTCGGATATCATTACATCCTGACAAAGTTGTGACAGCCAGCTACATCAGACGTCAGGTGGCACAAGGTCAAAAGGCTCTTTTCACCTTATACAGAATATACAGAGACTCCTCAGGCGAGCCCAATCATGACTGGCCTTACTAAGAGCAACTGATCTGCCAAGGTTGTTCAATGGTGCATCTATTCTATGTCTTTTGTTATTGTTCCCTCTTTGTGCAGGATTTAACAGCTAGAGAGTCCTACTTGTGTTGGCCAGATGTGGATCACACTGTTGCTTTCCTTAGTTGTCGGAGCACCCTGACGGCTTCCTCCCTAAGCAGATGTACTGTCCCTGATGGATGCCAAGGTTTGGCACCCTCAGCCAGGTCACCTGTACCTGTGGGTTTGGGCCCCTCAGACTGAATCACCTGAGAACTGTGATCCATCAGTCCAGGAAAAACTTATGAATGCAAGAGGCCCTAGGCCTTAAATTGGATGTTGTTCTGCGAATGGTGTTCAGCTTATCAGTTGGATCTTGTACACTGTCTGATTTCTAGGATTTTAACCTTTCTCCAGGGACTGCTAAAGAGCAGCAATTTCCCATCTACCCTATAGGTCCACCTGACAGCCATTGCAGAACAGCACAGCACTGTAGATGGAATCTCTAAAGTCCCATGATCTCTGACCACTTTCTCAGCACATTATCATTATCTAGGTGTAACAAACTGCCCCTGGAAGATGGGTGGGGTGAAACCAGTTCTAGTTCTGGAAACTAGTAGAATGCTAGTTATGTATGCATCTGTGGTTCTATAATAAGATCACACATCACTAAGGTAAACTTGCTTGAAGATGTTGGTCTACGTGCACACACACACACATAAGGTGGTATCCAGTTGTTACACACCAGCCCTGGCAATTATCTGGGGTTTTGTAACTAGCATATAATGTGAAGTG